ATCCAATTTCCAATGCTTTCTGAGCCCTTAATCTGTTTAAAAACTTTCTATAGCCAAAACCTTGTCTTGCTTTTTGCTGTTTAAGTTCTTAAAATTTATAAGTTTTCATACTCTTATATTAAGGACTGAAGGCACTCACCAGCTATTTCCAGCCTTGTTACTTTGCAGGTATCTAACTTCTTTGAAGCAGTTAATAGGCAGTTAGAAGGTAGTTAGCAAGGGAAGTGTATGAACTTAGTGTCCTTTTAAAAAAGACTCCATTTGTGGCTTGAGCAATTATGGAGAATTCCCCCCCCCACACACACACACACACCTGAGATCACTGTCTTGCAGTCTCTCCACAAGGAGAAGGAACAATCATAAGGAGAAACAATGGGCAATCTCACCATCTCTCTCTTTTATCCAGAGGGGATCATAGGAGCTGATATGTTAATCATTTCCTTATTAAAGTCAGATGTCAGGTCCACTTTACATGGAACTGTCTTCAGTCCACCATCTTTCCCAGGAAGTCCCAGCAGGAACACTAATTTGAGAGAGGGTGAGTTGTGGCCCTTAGAAACAAAACTAAGTAGTCCATTCTGTCACTGAAGAGCATTACATTGCAACCATGTTTAGAAGAGGGTCAGGGTTAACTCCAGGAGGACTTCAAGAATCTGTTCATTTATCACTTCTTGAAGGTAGATGCAACCTCATAATTTCAAGAAAGGCTGGTACAAAGCATCTAAAAAACCCTGATCTCTCTCAAGCTGTCTCCTCCACTATACTCCTCCCCACTATATGAACAGGAAGATAGGCCACAGATCAATGAAATAAACAAGCAAACAACAAACCAAGTGTTGGATTACAAAACCAATCACTTTCAGCCAACAAATAGCTAGGCATGATGGGTGCTGTTCCTGAACTGATTTGGAGTTCAGCAAATTCTTTAGCGTGACAGAAAATAAACTATAAGTTCAGAAAGTGTAGGGGTAAGTGGACATAAAAGCCAAAATCTACCTGGTTGGATAGGATGGGCAGGCTCCAGATCCCTTCCTTCAAATGTTGTCATCTAGTGGGACCTAGGCAGCATACCTTCTCCATAGCTACACCTGCCCTGTGAAACACCCTTCCCCCTGAGCTCCAACAGGCCCCCATCTTCCTTGCCTTCTGAAAGGCCTTGAAGCACTGGTTCTTCCCACAAGTGCTGGGGTAGTCTGAGGCTGGAGCCTGGTAAGATGGTACTTTGCTATGGTGAAGAGCGTTGCCCTGGGTGCCATGAGTTTTTATCATGATGGTTTGGAGTTCTTTGCTGGTTTTATTGTTTTATGAGCCACACAGAGTTGTGGTTAGAACATGGGCAGCTATTTAAGTCTTTTAAATAAATAAATAAAATAATATCCAGAAGAAACAGCAGTTTTGGCTATCGCATTTCCCTACGATGCTTTTGTCTTGCAGGTGTTTCTCAAAATGTCTCGTATGCACCTATGTATAGTACATAATTATTATAAATGTTATAATAATCAGAGCATTTAGGAATAAAACTGTCAGTTGATTGTCTCTCTGGCAAGAGATAGAAACATTGGAACACTCCATATTGCTATAACATGTTTGGGATTGAGCATTTAATGGAGTGTTTTATGTCAAAGAGCTAAATAATTCCCAAATTTACAGACCCAGCTTCCACCAATTTATTTGCAAGCAATGTGGAGCTCTCCGTGAGTCCTAGTCACACATCAAGTTTTGAAATTTTTAAACCATCTTAAAACCCAAGGTGCCAATGCTTGTGCTTATACTTGTGAGACAATTCAATCTCCGCCATCATAATAATGCGGAAAAAAGTGCCATCTTCAGTACAATAATGCAAAACAAGTAAATAAATCAACCCATCTCTGCCTCTGTGAGTCACAGCAATTAACAATGTATTAGCACTGAAAGCCAAAGTCACAGCATGGGAGTATTAAAAGTAGTCAGTAGTGATAGCTAGGAGATCATTCTCTTCCCCTTCATTTAAAAAAAAATAAAAGCTGAAAAAGTTTGAGTCTAAACAAAGGCGACCAATTTTAACATCTCTATGGAAATTCATTTCCGTTCTTTACTGAAAAATGGGAAACAATGCAGTCTCACCCAGATTTTCAGGGGTTCCTCAGAAGCTTATCTCTGCAAGATCATGGGTTTCTCAGTCAAGAAAAGAAACAACAGTAGATAAACTTTTTGAGTTGTAGCTCCACACATTCCGTTGTGATTGGCTAATGCCCCACAGTGGGGGGTGGGGGGGCATGCACCAAAACATCAAGAAACTTTAAAAATTGCCCCAAATCTCAAAAGATCTCATCGGTCTCATCCAAAATCTCATGCAAGAACTTGAGATTCTTGAATCTCATGAGATTTTACCCATTTTTATTTTAAGAAAAGGCTTATGTTTAATTGGATATCCAAATTGCATGCATGCCACCCCTCTCCTGCCACATCTGCATGAAGCCAACTTCTGCAGACTGGTGCTTTCCAAATACACTGGCTTCAACTTTCAGAAATCTGAGAATTGTAGTCCAGTACACCTGGCGGTCATCACGTTGGAGAAAAATCATCAATACTACCTTGAAGCAAGACTCTCATGTCTTTAACTTATGTCTTTAAAGAGGATTAGACAAATTCACAGAGAAGGTTATGAGCACATATGAGTATCTGCCGTCATCAAGATTACAGACTGCATCTCTCTGATTATCAGATGCTATGGAGCAACCAAAGAAGGAAATTGGTTGGCCTCTGCAGGAAAGAAGACATTCAAATGAAAAGACCAAGGAATAGCAGAGAACATGTTCTAAAATGGTTGTAGGGGAGCAACTCAGCAGGCCTCTGTACCACCCAGAATGCTTTCAGGGTGGTACAGTTGCATACATTTGAAAAAAAAACAACCATAGAAAGGATAATATCTTCATCCTTTCTCCTTCTTTTTTCCCTAGATTAAAACACACAATCGTTTAACAAATAATGTTTATACAACAGAGGATGAATTGAATCCTTACTTGGCTTCCAGAGCTAGAGCAATGATCCCAGCTACCATGGGGGCAGAAACGGAAGTCCCAGTGTGGCCTTTTGTGCAATGTTTCTTCAGATCCGTGGTCACCTAAGAAGAAAGCTGATGTCACTATTAGCTGAGCTGGAAAGGGAGAAACAAGGCTTAAATCACACTGTGTAGCCCAGATTTTGTGCAACCATAAATGGCCAAGGTCAAGAAGATACCAACTGCTCTTTGGCCTTCTGTTAGTAAGCCATAGTATGTCAGTCCCTCCTTCCTTCCTTCCTTCCTTCCTTCCTGCCTTCCTTCCTTCCTTCCTGCCTTCCTTCCTTCCTTCCTGCCTTCCTTCCTTCCTTCCTGCCTTCCTTCCTTCCTTCCTGCCTTCCTTCCTTCCTTCCTGCCTTCCTTCCTTCCTTCCTGCCTTCCTTCCTTCCTTCCTGCCTTCCTTCCTTCCTTCCTGCCTTCCTTCCTTCCTTCCTGCCTTCCTTCCTTCCTTCCTGCCTTCCTTCCTTCCTTCCTTCCTTCCTTCCTTCCTTCCTTCCTTCCTTTTCTTTTTTGGACAAATGAGATAATCTGACCTGCTATAACCTCTTCCAAACAAGAAGTTTAGTATGACTGGGTCTCCATGGAGCAAAAATGTTGAAAAAAATCAGACCTAGGCCTTTCCTCTATGATCTGTCAACAAGGGGAACTGTTTAACTTGGACCTGAGTAGTAAAAAAAAAGGAATTCTCGTTAATCAGTTATGGAGTCTAGGAAATGTTCTAACTCTGTATTCTTGTGTAAAGCTGTTTCACTGAGTTTTGGCAAGGTGCTTTGCACAGCTGAGGCAATGCTACCGGTATTGTTCAGTTGTGGCAGTTATGCAATTTAACTCATCAAGGTGCTCTGTATTGCTTTTATAGTCATCCACCCGCTGGAAGATCTACCGAATGCCTGTACAGAAGTCTTTCTGTTACTGGATAGGCCACAAGAGTGTCAGATCAACAATGCAAAGTTTCACTCTTTACAAGCAGGAGACTGCACTCCTTTGCAAATAGAAGCATCACCAAAGCAAAGTACTGTTTCAAAGTTTTACCGTTTACTTACAATCTGCCGCTCGTAGAAGGCCCCACTGCTATAGGTTGTAGCAAGGGTAGAGGCGCACTCCTCCAAATACCACGGCTTGTTCCCTTTCTCGGTGGTACTGCTAATGGAGACGGTGTAGATGCTGTTGGTGTATCCATCACAAGAACAATGGTCCCCTTCTCGGCCACCATTTCCAGAAGCCCACACAAAAATAGAACCCAGTCCTCTACGACCCTAGGCATTGGGGAAGAAAATGGGTTGGAAAGGGGACTGACCACTTTACCTAGATTCCTAAAGCTCTATCCAGTATGAACAATGTTAATTGAATTTAACTTCTGGAAAGTTTCGTTCTCAGTAAAATGTGTAAATCGTCACATTTTAACTGTAGTTCCCAATGTCACAATGGTGGACCAAATACATATGACTGAACATAAAGCATTTTACTGAATGCAATGGGACTTCTGCCTTTCAAAAGGAATGCTTGGAAACACTATCACCTCAAGCTTTCATCCCACAAGCAGCAGCCCACACTTCTTTTGATAGGGCAGCATTGTGGAGAGGGGCGGGGAGGCAATATTTCAGGTGATAAAGATTTTGGAGGACTGAGAGAATGTAGATGAAACTGAATCCCCTACCCAACCCTTCACCTAGCAGTACCCTGGTCTCATCCTAAAGACAGTCCACTTTCCAGATTTAGAGCTAATGACACAACTTTGCACACAGGCTAGAGCAGACTGCAGAAAACCTATTGGCTTTTGTTCCTGATAGTCACATGTTTGAAGGTTGGGGGAGCAGGAAGGAAGTTGAAGTACAAGTGGGAAAGCATGTAGTTTCTCTACATTTGGTTAGACTGCAGGTGTAAAGGAAAGGAGAGTTGGCCTTTGGGATAGGGAAGGGATGAATGAGCCTTTAAGGTAGACTTTCAGAATTACATAGTCCTGAGAAAGAAGAAAGGTGAGAAAGAAATACAAGAGCCAGTTTGGTCTAGTGGTTAAGGCTCCAGGCTAGAATCCAGGAGATGGTGAGTTCTAATCCTGCCTTAGGCGTGAAAGCTGGCTGGGTGGCTTTGGGCCAGTCAGTCTCTCTCTCA